ACTATATATCTGTTTCTGAGATAACATTATTTCTACATCAGTACATCATCACACACTCGATATATCAATAACTCCAGCCTAAGGGATACTCCGTAGTAGTGCACCAGGTACATTCCACGATATCTGGATCCTCCGCGAGGTAGGGAGGAGTATTAATTCGCTAATGACCATGTGATGACAACAACGATACACAACCAGCCCTAAGTGTGTACGGATGAGCAAATTATATTTGCAACTTTATATACAAACGCAACCGCAACTGCACCCGCTTATATCAGGCCATTTAATAGTACCCCGGGATAAGGCTTTGGGCAAACCCATAGTTTTACTGACACCTGCTTCTCGCTCACGAAAGTAAGAGGATCGATCCGATGATGTGAACACCAATACATATGCAGACATATGCGTGAGTAAACGAACTCATGTGTACAAACATACGTGACTTCAACAACACACACCTATACTTTGCCATATAATAATCCAGTACTGAGCGATGACAGACTGCTGAAGTCAGTGTCAGTCGCATCCCTCTAAAGAACTGTGCCGCTGTTGAAACATGACGATCACAACGATAGACACGTACACGCATGTGTGTATAGGAAACGAATCACAACCATCTGTATACACAAACATATCCTCAAATACACCCACCTATACTTGACCACGTGATGGTACCCCAGTACAGTGTGATGGGCAGGCTTGTGAGTTTTGTGCCCACCGAATCCCTCTCAACGTAGTAGAGGACTGAACCACTTACAATTACCACTAGCCATGAGATCAGCCACATGGCAGTCAGTGGGTATACGTACTGCCGGAATGTCATGTTCAGAACACCACTATCCAAGGCGTTTGTCTTCCATTTGTTCTGTCTGAATATATAATACATTTAGGTATTAAAGATAGTTGATGTTGTGCGTATCAAGGAGTTAAGATGGGTGATGCTTAGCGATATTTATAGTGCTAGCGGTCATCGCGTGGAAACCATACATGTACGTGTTTGTACTTTTTTATATCCCTACCTACGCCCACACTTTCATACAAAAGTAAACAGTTACACATCTAAAAAACCAATTCATCAGGGATTAAAATCCAATTATAGCACAGAGCGGACGATCACAAATAACGGGCGTACGAGCCGCACTACATCTGGTGAGGTCAAACCAGTTGACGCATTTGAGATGTACATAATATATATATATATACTGCACACACATTTACACAAACACACACACGCAAAAAATGTACACAAACACACACACACACTCAAAAACACATACACACATACACACTCACACACACACACACACAC